ATATGGAAAAAACGCTCAACGGCAACTCGACGAAACCGGAAGGTTTCCAATATAAGCTGAAACACGCACTGTCTTACTATTCGGCAAAGTTTTAGTTTCAACAGTAATATCATTTACAGAAAGATATCACAAAAAAGCTGAAAGCTACATGTAAACTAATTTTGTTTTGCTTTGGAACGAGGAACCGTAACACGGAAGCTAAGTAGTTTGTGGAATAAAACAAGCTTGATATATTTAACAACAATCTTAGAGAGCTGTATTGCCGCTGGGTGTATTAGTTGAATTATTTACCTCACGAATTCGTTTTAATGCCTAGTCAAGGGTATCGAAAGCAAAACGATTTGCCTACAGCTGATAGACTATAAATTAGAGGGTCTGAACGAGAAGCAATGGTGAACCTGTCATGCCTTTAACGTGGAGCAGCGCACTCAGACCAACAATACAACAGCTGAAGATGACATGGACAATACATAAACAAGTCAGAGCGAGGCAGAAACGTCTTCTTTTTTTAAGCGGTTTCGACTTCCTTCAAATTACTCTACATTAGTAATTTTGACATCAATGACAAAGAAAGAAACGATGGGTTCTGCCAGAAGAACCTAATCGCGAGCAGTACCAATTCTGCTTTAAGTCTAATTGATACCGTGAGCATTTCAGGTGATGCTATAATATATACGAAGTCGATGAGAGTTTTAATTACACAGGAAATTGGGTGAAAATGTTTTAATTTACAGTGCGATTTTATTAACCACCAACATGGCTTAAATCCAAATATCTTAACTTGTGGCAAGAAAGACGTGTGTATGTATTTCTCTGTACACATACAACCTCAAACATTGTATCGTCCACTTGTTCGTAAAGAGCTTGCACAATGTATTTCAAGTGTTAAAAGCTAAGAAGAAATCGCTGCCAGATTCTAAATCAATTCACCTTGATACAGAAGAAAAAAAAATTAACAAGTTCCCGATGAGGTAGGTTATCACTTTCGATATGTTGTGAGAAGTCGTGTTCCTTTTGTGAAGGCGAATGTTTAGCCGTCCCTTGAGACCTGAAATAGTGTCACGCGAGTTTGAAGCCGTGATTATTCTGATGTGTTTATTCGACCTGAACGGGCAACAGTCCGCTTACAAGCTTGAATTTGACAAATCCACCATGCAACAATCTTGGATAATCACCTCACCACTACTCTTTTCATTACACATTTCATGATTATAAGAGAATAACAAGATTCCTGCTTACGCTTACAGCGTGCCGATAAAATATGGGGTTCAGTTAAACTTATAACTTTTTCAGTTGCCACAGTCCGCGCAAAACTGTCTAAAACAACTCTTCTGTTACATTACCTTTAAGGCAGCAGCGTCCCATTTCTCCACAAAATCAGGGTTCATTCTTCTTTTCTTTCTTACCGAAGAACAATGCTCTCTCGCATCGCGGTCGTGTCGGCCGCGGTCTTTGCGATACTGCCTCTGCTCATCTAATTTATTACGTATCTCTCGGGTGGCCATTTTTTATGCATAAATTACCATCTAGAGCCCGCGATAAATCAGAGGAGATGCAAGGAGAGGTGAAAGCTTATTGAGACTTACCTTTCAGGGAAACGTCGAGGCTGACCTTTTTTATTTCAAGAAGGATACTTCTGGGAATCCTAGAGCTCAAAGTTAAAAATAAATTTTGTGACGGAAATGTTCCTCTAAGAGACATATCAGCGGCCTGTCAAATATGGGTGATATTTATTCTCCTAATGACGATAGGTAAAATTATCCATTCAATGAATGGCTTCCCCTGTACTTTGAAGCGTTGAGCTGCGAAGTGGCGAGATGTTCGGAACGGAAAAACTTTCTGGGTTCCCTTTTTCACGGTTTCGTCGCCAACCCGCCGCATTCGTTTTCATTGAGCGCACGAGAAATTGCCAGCTAAGCGGGCTAATATAGACTGAACTCACACGTAGAAAAAAAATATTGGTTGCAACTAAAATTATTCCCATAACAGTTCCACCCGGTTTCGGACGCTCACTCCTTTTCCGGACCATCCCACCTGATTTCGTCATAGACAAAAAAATGCCTATTCATTCGAAGGAGAGTCAGTCGGCTCGGGGGGTCTTTAAGTGATTTTCCAGCTGACGAACTATTGGCTTATCCAGGACTCAAGATCCCACAAATACGCGCTAAGGCCGAGTGAGGGAGTGTGTCCGGGGTTCCTACTGAGTTTGGACTGTTCTGTCCAATTTTGACCGTACGCCATTCGGCCCTGACGACTTAATTAGAGTTCCAAGGGATTCTTGTCAGTGATGGAAACAGGACTAAGTGGAGTCCAATTCGGTCTGTAATCATACGCCGAGTGATATCCAAATCGGACGACCACGCAGTGGGAGTCCGGTTTGTTTATCACGAGTGTAGAAGAACTGCCAAGTTATGAAAGAAATGAAAAATTTGTTTTAAACTACAACTTTGAATGTGATTGGTTGATTTAAGCTACAACTTTGAACGTGATTGGCTTATTGAACTAACCGGTAACAACTTAGCAAGTGAGTTCGCTAAATCTTCCTCAAAAAGAAAATTTTGAATATGATTTCTATTTAAAGACAAATATATTTCGGTAATTTTTGTTCTTGGCCTTGAAGATTTTCCATTCTGGTTTGGGGACAAGGAACGTAAAACTGAGTACAGGCGTTTTTGCGTTCCTGGAGAAAAAAAATTTGCGCCCCTTTTCATTCCCAGCCTTCTCTTTTTTCTTTCGTTCGCCTTCCATTTCAGCCTGGCACGGGCTACGATTATGCAAGACCGAAACCCAGCTACTTGCCCCATCAAGCACCCATAAAATTATGTCTCCCCTAATATAACTGACACTGTTCACGGTGAGAGGCTTTTTCGCTCGTCACGTCGCTAACCGGTCAAATCGCCCAAAGTCATGTCACCCAAACGTTTAGTCAAGTCGCCGGAAATAAAAGGTCAAGTCGCCTGAAGAAACAAATACCTCAAAGGTCAGACTTATAGCTGTAAATAGGCTGTTAGGCTGAGAAATTTTTATCACTAAGACGTTATTTGTTTTCGAAAACACCATGGGGATGATGATCGAAGTATGTTCGAGTGACGACTCCAAAAGCGTTGTTCGTTTCTAACCACGAAATCAAAGGTTGTTTGTTTGGTATTCACCCCTTTTGTACCCACGGACGTTTCGTAAACTTGAGAAACTTTACCACTAAATCAAACTAAAGCCGTGTTGCTTTCTAACAACACCATGAAGACTTTTAAAAACGATCATATAGCCAGAATTGAAATACGTTTGAGTAACGACTCTAAAGCGGTGTTCGTTTCCATAAACACAGTGAGCATTGTTCTTTCTATAACAACAAAATGCAGCGTTGCATTGCAATTGTCTGCTTGATAATCATTCGTTTCGTACCCACGGACGGTTCGTAGCCTGTCTATTCGTACCCGCTGTGAATCGGTTTGTTCTCAAGCGAGTAACATTCAATTAAAGTTCCGTTGAGTCCATTTGTGACCTTCCTAACAATAACAAATAAAAAAAACCGGTAAAGAGATGTCGATTGTCGCGTTCGACAAGTTTGTCAATAGTCAAGCGAGTAACATGCAAAAAAGGTCATGTTTTATCTTTATCTGAACTTTTTAACAATAACAATAGCGCGGAATCCGAAGGTCTGAGGTTCGATTCCTCAAGGGGACTCAGAATCTTTTCTTTGTCCCACGCTCGTGACAAGACGAAAAACATCTTTCTCAATAACAAATTACTTAGCGCCTTGTGCAAGGTAAGTGTGATATTTTAAAGATAACAGTCTACTGTTTATGCTTGTGACTTTTTTAACGATAGTGGTCTGATATCATCATTTTCCTTAGGGTCAGAATAAGCATGAATTATGTAGTCGTGCTCCGTTCCGTCTAGCGGTCGCATGTATGTCTTGATCAGATTAAAGAACATATAGAGAAGATAAATTTAAAGCACCCATATCATTCTAAAAAAGCTAGCTAAAATATAAAATCAATGAACAATCATCCTTGTGTCGAGTGTGACAATGAAGTTAGATCGCGCCAACAAGTCCTCCAATTGGACGATTGTGGTCTTTGGCAGAATCGTACCTGAGAGGCTGGTATGGACCGAACAACATACCGTTTGGCCTCCATAAGAGGACGAGTAGAATAGCGATGTGTTACTTATGCGGTCGCGGCCTGAAACCCATCGGACCAAATTCTTGCGGCTGAGAGCTCTTGTAATGACTAGTTAAACGCTTTCGCAAGGCTATTTCAGATCGTACGTTGAATTAAATAAACATCGTGTGTGTTGGTTGAGAATATCTGAATCGGGTCGCATTTATAGTGACATTTCAATACTGAAGGATTGACGGAAGTAAATACACCTGGAGGGTGAAGAATTTAGATATATGAAAATTCACATATTTGCACTGCGGTGGAGAGATGAAATTAGAAGATCCTCGCAGCTAAGAACACTACTGAAACTAGTAGTTGTAAATAGGACCTGAAAAAAATTCAGGCCCGTACGGGATTTGAACCCATGACCTCTGCGATACCGGTGCAGCGCTCTACCAATTTCACTTGGATGTTTATTTGTACCCAATTCATTGACCAGCTCCCAGTTAGCTTGTTAGCTCAATTGGTAGAGCGCTGCACCGGTATCGCAGAGGTCATGGGTTCAAATCCCATACGGGCCTGAATTTTTTTCAGGTCCTTTTTACAACTACTAGTTTCAGTAGTGTTCTTAGCTGCGAGGATCTTCTAATTTCACACCTGGAGGGTGTTTCGATGGATCGGTGCCCTCAGCGGTTTTAAAATTTCGGGCGATGTGACCCAGGTTCCGGGCGACATGACTTTCGGCGACACTCCATCGTAGACCATCACGCCATCTCACAGTGATGATCGAGGGATGGGGGTACACAAAAGGGTAAAAGAAGGTTACAGGTTACCGCTGTTCATAATGCGAGTAGGCGTTTAGACAAACACCAAACGACAGCCCATACGGCAAACTACACAGTAAATGTCTACGGGCCACTAAGAGTACCACGAAAATATAAAATTCTTCATGGAGGCCTGCATGGAAGAACCCATGGAGGAAGAGAGAAGCGTAGAGCATTTCGATATAGGTACTTTTGTCCTTAACCACAGAAAACTGTGTCAGCTGGTGATACCATTGATAAAGTGGTACGAAAGTTTACAATTTGTGATCAGGTAAGTGCGATGTATATAACATCGAAGACTTTATTGCATTCGACTCTTGCACACCGCATACGTGTGCTCTGTGTGCTTTTGCATGATGTACCGCCTTAATTAAATATGCGTACACCCGATGGAACTTACAATGGTGCTTATTATCACGTGCTATGTTACATCCCCTTCTCTTAAATTATGTTAATTGAACCGGAAACAAACGAAAACAAAAAAAAAAACATATGTTCGAGCCAGTGTATAAGGTATAAGTATCTTGTATACATTTACAAGATACTAATCATACAACTATGACTATATAATATAAAAATCATACTACTGGTGCGAGAGTCAGAGGTTAAGTCTTTCCGGTGCTCGAATTTCACGTCCCGAGTGAGATTTTCCTGGACCCTTCTTGGATCCAGTTTCTGTTAAGGTGGAACATTGTGGATTGGCACTTGAGGATTTTGAGGTTATACTTCCTTGAGAAATGCAACTCAACAAATTGTTTACTAGGTTTTTGGAAGCATTGTTTGGTCTAAGATGGATCCTATTTCTTTGTAGCTGAGCACCAGTTTTAGTTTCTATAATATATGAGCGGGGCATATCTCCCTGACCTACGACTCTAGCAGGATTCCATGTCTTTCTCATGGGATCTTGTGTGCATACATGGCTTGGTTCCCGTGTAGTTCAGGGAGTTCCTTAGTGTGCTTGTTGTAATAGTAGCACTGGTTATCTTGTCTCACTTTGAGCTGATTTCTAACTTCTTCTTGGTTCTTTGATGGCTGAATCTTACCAGGAAGTGTGGATTTAAACATTCAGCAATTCAGATGGTGATGGTATATTGGAGCTGAGGGGTGTTGTTTGTAGAGCCAACAGTGCTAAATCTATGTCTTCTTTAGTCTCTCTGCATTTCAGGATCATCTTCTTAACCATGTGGAATTGGTGTTCAATGAACCCATGGCCACGCGGGTAGTGGGGGGATGATGTCACAATTTCAAAACCATATTGGCTTGCCAGTTGTTGGAACACACCGCATGTAAATTGAGTACTGTTGTCACATTGAAGAGATTTTGGGATTCCATTTTCTGTGAATAGCATTTTTCTCTCATTAGTTCTAATGGGAACTTGAGTAGCAGTCGACAACTATGAGGAACCATGACTGTTGTTCATAGAACAGATCTGCACTTACTGTTTTCCATTGTCTTGAAGGGATCTCTGATGGCATCATGGGCTCCTTTTGTTGGGAATTGTGATATTTCTGGCAAGTGCTACATAAGTTCATGAGATTTTCTATTTCTTTGTATATGCCTGGCCAGTTAACACAGGATTTGGCTTGTAGCTTGTTTTTTTCTATACCAAAGTGCCCTCTGTGGATTTGCTCTCAAGGACTCAGGTTGTAAAACACGGCTTCCAAGAGGTATCAGCCCGTCTTTTACTGAAATGTCATCTCATAGGGGGCCAGTACGGTTTTAGTGCGGGTCAATTTTCCTCTTTCTATTGGGCCAACCTTGTATATCCTGATGAGATAGAAGCTGTAAGGTTTCATCTTTTGCAGTTTCTTCTTTGAACTCTTCCATTTTAGCTGGGGTGATTCTAATTAGTTGGTGAATTTTCACATTCATATCTGGTACTTCAAATTCATCTAATGGTGAAAGGTGTGACAGGGTGTCAGCTGTGACCATTTCTCTTCCTAGAAGATATTTAACAATGCAGTCATAGGGTTGTAGATGTAACATCATTCTTTGAAGATGTGGAGGTGCTTGCATCAGATTCTTTTTGTGGATCTGTTCTATCTGTTCTGTTCTATGGCTCTGACCTTGTCTGGGCTGGGCTTAACACTGTCTGGTGTGTAAAGCATACCAAAGAAATTGCAGTCCTTTGTTGTGATAATGCACTTCTTGTCATTGAGCCTGATGCTAGCTTTTCTGGTATGTTCTATGGTGTCATGTTTGTGTATATCGTGCTCTTTGTCATTTTTTCTGTAAATTGTAATGTCATCTGCAATGCCAATGGCTCCCTGGCAATCACGATATGTCTCATTGATCTTGAATTAAATGATATCTTGGCTCATTTGTAAGCCAAACAGCATCCTAAGGAAACGGTATCGACCAAATGGTGTATTAAAAGTTGTTAGGTATGAAGATTCTTCTTCTAATTTGACATTCCAATAGCCATTGTGAGCATCAGGCTTGCTTAAGAGCTTTGCTCCTGCTAATTTGGGTGTTATTTCCTCTAAACTGGGTATAGGATGATGCTCTCTTTTGATCACCTTATTCAGGTCCTTAGGATCAAGGCATAAACGAAGTCACCCATTTTCTTTTTCTCTAATAACCAAGGAGTTTACCCAATCTGTGGGTTATGTTACTTTTGCAATGATATTTTGGCTTTCCATCTCACTTAGTTTGACTTGTAGTTTGTCTTTCAACTCTATGGGTACCTTGTGGGGTGCGTGGACCACTGATGATACTTAGGGATCTAGTGTGATGTGATACATATAGTCGTCAAAGCATCCAACAATGCCATCAGTTCTTGTTTATTTCTGATTGGTGGCCGTTCTTTCAGTGGTGCATGGCTTCCAATGTAATTTGGGCTTTTCTTGCTAGTATCTCAATTTTGAGCTGAAACATTGAAGCTGTTAGTTGGATAGGCCTGGTCTAGTTGATTTGCTCTGAGTGTACAGTGTAGGGAGACTAGTTTCAGTGCAGTGCATGCTTTTAGAACGAGAATAGCTAGCCCTGAAGGGTCTGTAACATAGAAAATGCAGTTGATCCTCTTCTCTTTGTACTTGCAAGGAATATTTATGGTGCCAAGCTGCTTGATTATAGAGCTGCCATATGCTGCTTCATTCTTTTCCAGTGTTTCTGGTTTGGGATTTCCTTTGTTGTTAAACTTCTCTGAGGGGATTATGCAAAGTAGTCTGATAGGCAAAACATTGCTGTGTGTACCTGTGTCTACCTTGCTCTGGGGATTAATTTTCTGCTTCTTGTCTGGCTGAGTTATCTCAAGTGTTGCAAAGGCTTCATCACATGTATTGTGTATCGAGTGTTGTGTGTCTTCCATGGCATTGACCTTGATGGTACTGATTGTCAGGATTTCATCATCATCATTGTCGCCCTGTCCTTGATATGTGAATCACTTCCTTGAAGACTGGCTTTGTTCTTTGGTTGAATTGTTTCCATTTGCTAGTCCAGCAGACAGATTGCCAATGATTAGCTTTGCCACATTTTTCAACATGACGTACTGTAAGCTGGACATTTGTTCCTTGGGTGTTGTTTTCTGCAGTTGTTACAGAATTCCCTTTCTTTTCCTGTATGAATGGCATCAATACTCCTGTCCTCTTGATAGCTTTTACTACTTCCTGCTAGTTTTTTCATGTGTTTACTTGTCGCCTTGTAGCTCCTTGCAATCTCAATAGCGGCTGCACAGGTCAGTGATTTATCTTGGCTTATAAGAGATTTTTGAATATCAGGATTTCTTGACCCCCAAATAAGGTGATCCAAAACTCTATCTTTGACTGCAGCATTATCACGAAATTGACATTTTGCTGTTAGAATTTTTAGTTTTGAATTAAAATCGTCCACTGGCTCGCCTTGTTCTTGTCATATTCTTTGTATTATACATCTGTGAATTTGATGACTCGTCTTTGGTTCCAGTTGATTCTTGAACTATTCGAAGATAATGGCAGCCTTTTTTCTGTCCTCCTTCTTTGTGAATGTCCAGCTGTTGTATATATCCAGGTCTTCTTCTCCCAACCAGAGTAGAATATAGCTTACTTTTTCTTTGTTGCCTGTGTCTTTGAGAATGCTCGAAAATATAGGCTGACATTTTTGTTTGAACCTTGAGAATGCAGTTATTGGATCAGGAGTGTCCCAGTCAATCTGTGGCATAGCAAGAGATGTTGCTGCTGTCATGATTTGCTTTTGTTGGCCTCTCTAGTTCTTGATTTAACTTTAGAAATTATTCTTGTAAACTGCTGCTACCATGCAATGTATATAACATTGAAGACTTTCTTGCATTCGACTCTTGCACACCACGTGTGTGTGTTCTGTGTGCTTTTGCATAATGTGCTGACTTACTTGAATATGCATATACACAATATAACTTACAATAGGTGATAATTATCATGTGCTAATATGTTACATTGGGTAACTGTCATGACCACAGAAATGATATCAATGCCTGTTTTCCATGTTCCCAAACTTAATTGAGAATATTCCCCAAGATTCATTTTTCCATCTATCGCTGTACCCAAAAATTATGTTTGTTACTGTGATTCTCAAAACTATCATTTTCTAAAGCTCTCTGTATTTCTACTGTTAGTAATAATATACATGAAAAAATAATGCAAGTCTGATTGCTTGTAAACAAGTGCATTTTCATGTAATAATGTACATGAAAAAATTATGTGTGTCTGGATGGCTGAAAACAGGTGCAAATAAAGTTGTGAAGGGGTAAGTTTCTAAAGAAACTGTGGTGGTGCATCAGTAGGAGAGTATAACAGGGTAATTTAGTTTCATCAACTGAGTTGATAACATAAATTGGCCACCATAAAGGGTTGAAAAGGAGACCTTCGAGCATTAGTGTTTGTTCTGACATCAAGGGCTAACGCTCAAAACACATCCAAACCAGTCGCTAGACACTTTAATCTCCCTAGTAATTGTTCAAAGCAGCATATGGCAGTTTGTGGCCTTTCCATATATTTAGGTAGCTAGGAAAGCTGCAAAACTCTAGAACAGAAATTTATCTTTTATATCGGCACTAAAGAGTGCTTTCCATTTAACTGATTTATCATTTTTTTCTTGTCACCATGTTCCCACCAGTAGTGTAGCTCCATTTTCTGCATACCAACACACACACAACCCACAATTCCTCCATTTCCTCTGAAAAGGGGCTAACACTAGAAATGTCAGCTTCGAAACTCTTTAGGGTAGCCAATTTATGTGATCAACTCATGTTGTTACCTAGATACTAATAATACACAGGAAAAAAGTACTTGATTCTGATTGGCTCAAAAGGAAAGCATTTTTTATGTAACATGTCAGAGCAAAGTTGTAACATATAAGTGCAAATTACAAATAGCATGCCTAAATTGTCAAAATTTTGTCAGCCTTGATGTTTTGTAATGGTTTTTTCATGTTAATTATTAATAAGTAACAATGTAATTTTGAGTGCAATTTAGTGTTAGTAGGCACTTGTAAATTTTTCAGACTACAAATTGCTTTCAATTGGCTCTAGGGGATTTACTCATGCTTATTAAGACTAAATTTCAATTAAAATTATGTTATTACTTAATACACTACATATAAACTCAAATCAGACAATGTCTTGTTATAACTCCCACAAAAAATATTACCTGCATAGCTCTTATAATAGAAGAATGTAGAATGATTACTTGCTTAATAAGTGATATTGTTTAGGTGAGGGCTGACCTTAAAACACCACAAGAAGAGTTGTGGGTGATATTGACAATATAAAGTTTAACAGCCTGAGTGCAATCCTCTTCACCCTCCTTTTCACTTTTCTCTTTTGATGTAGTGAATCAGTCACTTAAGGATCTGGGTTTTCACAGCTGAGTTATGTTAGGTTGTACTGGAAGGGTTTCAGATAGACAAGATGATTCTTCATCTCCTGAGTGGATTTAGCCTTAATCCCTTCTGTATTTTATAAGAAACATACTGCTTGTAGGACTTACTGGCCAAAGGAATTCCAAAGATGTGAGTTTTTTCAGCATGTGGTCATGCTTGTAGCTTCATATGGTTAAAGTGGCACTAATGTTTAATGCCTTTAAAAATGGAGTCAATGCCATTATCTGAATTGGTAACTCCTCAATTAGTTTAAAACTAATTTTTTAAAGATTATTGCTTATCAATGACATTATTATTACACTTTCATGTATAATTCTCCATGAGCTCTATTACTGTCCAACTTCGATAAATAGCATCTTCTCAACTCATGATCTCTTGATGGGAAATTATTTCAGGGAATTTGATTGGTAACTGGTTGATAAAGGGTGACCTCTTAAAATATGATGGTTTAATTGAGGTTGAACTGATCTTAATAACAGAAATAATAACAATATTTGTATAGGTAGGGCAAGTGCAACTTGTAGTCTTTGAAAAATTTACAACTGCCTATTAACACCAAATGGTATTCCAAATCATGTTTAACTTATTACTTGTTAATAATATACATGAAAATACATCACAGAAAGTCAAGACAGATGAAATTTTGAGAGGGTGTTTATGCTATTTGTAATTTGCACTCATGTTACAACTTTGCACCCTTGTTACAACTTTGCACTTGTGTTACAGCTTTGCACTTGTGTTACATGGGAATGCACACGTTGTCAGCCAATCAAAAATGTGCAATTTTGTAATGTACATTTTTACACAAGATAACCTCACCAGTGTAATGACACTAGTATCAAAAAGGGTCCTGTAAGTTAGTTATACAATGCTTACATTTCAACAGGTATAATTATATGGTATTACAGAGTAAAATATCGTATAAATTAATTAATAATATCATTATTTATACCATATAAAAATTTATTGATATTTTTTAGGTGGCAGTCTTGGCGAATTACTTTTGTCATCATGTTGGTTACAATTTACTTGTCTATCAGTTATCCAGGTAAACTTAGTTAAAATGTAAATGAATTAACCATTTAAGTCTGTCTAGATATTTTAACCCTTTAACTCCCAGATCAAATTTTTAGTTCTCCTTACTGTAAATCATACAATTCTTCTAATTTTAGTTCAGAGAATTTAGTAGCAGATCAACCAATTATCCCCAAATTGATATTTTTCTTTATTCTCATCACTTATCTGGTTTATATTGCATTGATATTGTAAGGAGAAATTCTGTCTTGGTCACTCATGGAGTTAAAGGGTTGACTCAACCCTTTAACTCCATGAGTGGAGAATTAACAGTGGTCAGCTCCTGCTGATAGATAGACATGTGATAGTACTCAGTGATTTAACTTCATTGTGTATTAAATTGCACATTTCTATAGTGTAGGTGTCTATATATTGCATTAAATTTTGATATCTTTATTTTTTCATTCAGCTGTGCTAAGTGCACAAAAGCTGAGTCACTTTTCTCATAGAGGGAGAGGAATGTTAGATTATTTATAGAGCTATTTTATCATCAGATTTTTGCCTTTTATGGGGCAGACCTGTATAGATAATTGTTCAAAGAAAGTTCTCTGAATGATTAATTACACTTAAGAGCTTATGTCAGCATGCATCAGACAAACGGTGGCAAGTCACCCAAAATTTCCTTTCACTCCTACTTTCATATTTTGTAGCCCAATATGTTCTAATAATTGTGGTGTAACTTTTTTGTGAAAATACATTTTAGTTTTCGTATTTAGTGTTCATATTTGAGCAGTCGAACAAAAAGAGTCATTTCTCGAAAACTAAAATATATTTTCACAAAAAAAACTACACCACAACTATTAGAATATATTGGGCTACAAAATATTAAAGTAGAAGTGAAAATGAATTTTGGCTGACTTGCCACAATATTTCAAATTTGTTTGATGGATGCTGACATCCTCTCTTCATGTAGAATCGATTCACCATCAGATCACCTCAGTCCTTACAAGTATTCTCCTATCAGTTAGCTTCTGTAAAATTTCTTGTCTTTTCTGATCTTTACATGTTAAGTCTGTTGGTACTATCAAGGGAATCTTTTTTTCACTTTGACAGTGACTTATTAGAATTCATGTGAATCATAGTCAGCTTAATAAGAGGGGCTGTGACAATCATATGACCATTTAGAAAATATAATTTCTGCAGATAAATGGGGATGGTTTTTAGGTACAGTACACCGAAGACAGAAATATACAGTAGAGTTACTCTAATAGATGTAAAGGTATCTTGCAGGATGAGAACAAGACAAAAAAAATGCTAAAATGGAAAAGTTAAATTTAATCCAGGATGTGCGATGGCATTTAAGACCCTAATTAACTGTTTTCCTTAGATGGGCATGTGCACCCTGAACTTGCAATCCTTTGGAGAAGGACATTTTGTAACTCATGCATAGATTAAACCCATGTAATGCTATACATATAGAGGTTTCAGTAACTTTTTCCATGAGCAACTAATGATGGTGCAATAGCTGGACAGCTCTTCCCCAAAGTGAAGCCAAACATGAGAGACTGTGCACAGGCTCAACTGACAGCTGGTAGTGAGAAGACCTATAGGTGGTGGTAGACTGCTGGTGACTGGCTTTTATTGAAACCCCTGTACATATAAATGTCTCAAAAAAAGTCAGCACCCCCTGAGTGTCTCAAAGGAGAAATTACACTCTTGTTCATTTAAGTTGTCTGAGTAAACAACTACATGACAATTCTTACGTTTATAATCACACAGTATTTTGCTTGCAGCATATGTTGTCCATATACCACTGGTGTATGTGTCAGTTATATTTGGCTTATCTGGGATAAGAAGGCTGGGAAGAAAAACTTCAAAAGTCAGTAATCTCTTGCAAAGAAAAAAAGTTTGCAGGAAAGATGATGATGATTTGAATTTAGTAAGTACATGAACAAATTTAATGCTAGATATACAAATCCCCTCTATTTGTACAATATAGAAAAGGGAACATTTCAGTTGCTGTCACATTAACCCATTAATCTCAGCATTGGCACCTTTTGGTAACTTCTCAGAAGAGGTAAAGATCAGTTCAGTGAAGTAAAGGGGTAATATCATATATGCTATACTCTGTGGCTGCTTTAGTAACCATGAAGGCCCTGCTGGAATCCTGAAATAGAGCAGTGGATTGTGCTCTGATGGAGTAAAAGTGGAGTGAAAGACCTGTGGTTCTGTCTTTTACTTGCATCATTTTGCTTTTGGGTGGATTTCCTCTGTTCATGATAGATGGATTATTAAGTGATGGATCATCTCCTTGAGGAAGACAGTTCAAATGTACATCTGCAAGTGGCAGTGAATGTGGTGGTATTGATAATGATTCTATGAAATTGGCTCTGTAACATTTCTTTATTCTATGTTGTATTATATGTTAAAGGAACATGAGTCATACTGTTGGAAATACCTAAATTTATGCTATAACAATATATCTTTCAGGTACATTTTTACAGTCAGCACAAAATGTAGACTGAGAACAATAAAGAATGAATTCTAAGCCTGATAACATTTTAACTTTATTAATAACCATTAATTGAGGTTGATCAAGACCAAAAAAGCAGACTCCAGACTCCATTTTTTATATAGACAGTATTTTGCTCTGGCAGCTTTTGATCTCTCAGCATACTTAAATTACTCACAGGACAGACTACAACTCTTGGTTTCATAGGTCTTGGTTTGCAGTCATGTGTTTTGGAATTTCAATTAATCACTTTGCTTACATGTGGCTAACTGTGCCCTGTCCCCTCAAAAATTATTGTGGAAAAGGCAATCAAATGTAATGTAATTTGAAGACCTGTTGGGCCCTCTGATTTCTTATCAGAGATTATAACTTATTTCATTTGTTTTCTTAGGATGTTAAACTGGCAGTCATTAAGGAAGCACATGATCATCTAAAAGAGTACATTAAGATGTATGTATGCTGAGTTAACATTGTGTATTACATTTGCTTTGTGTATTTAATAAAGACATATCTTCAGAAATTAATTTCATTGCAAAATTAAAGAATAAGTTGACCCACTGTTAGCAGATTTGTTAGTTGAAGCGGGTCAATCATCTGCCCAAGATCCGCTTAATTATTGCATTACTTGTAGATGAAGAAACAAAAGAAACTAAATAACAGAAGTTAAGGAAATTAAAGGAAATAATTAAATAAATAAATGAATAGAAAAGTTTTTTACTTAAGAGTGGTGGGAAACATACAGTTTGATCAATTTGATTTAGTTTTATAGTCTTTGAGTTTTAGAATAATATTTTCAACATTGAGTGTAGGAATCTCAATTTTCCAGAATATCAAATATACTAGTGCAAAAATTTCTCATGTTTTAAGTCTTTTACAAACACTTTTTTTTCTTGGGAGAATGCCTAGTTCTTATCACATTATGAAATAGAGTTGACTCACTAGTTTTTTTAAAAATGTTTTTCCAGCTCTGTGCAAATACAGATGGTAGAGGAAACCTTGTGTGAATGCCTCGAACAGTTTTACAGGTAACAATTGTGACAGCTGTACATTCTTGTAAATCCAACTGAGATACATCATATTTTTTATTGTGCCGAAACAGTCAAACTTCCAATGGAGAGTACAGCCTGCCAGTAACTGTGTTATTTCCAAAATGCTGCTCTGGAAATGATAAGTGGGAACCTTTTCGGCTGACTGAAATCATCTCTCTTTTATGAATTTGTATTGTTTAACACCAGCACTATCTGAGTGGGAAGTTTTCTCACCACTGTACAATGACTATTACCGGTATGTTCTTCAATTAGTACATGAACCTTGGTTCTCCTCCAGTCAGGCACTACACTATCCCAACTTTTAATTTGCCATAGAATTGTGAAAGTACATGTACATTTAGTTATGAGATCAGTATAAGATTTATAAGTGAGGATGATTTGGGAAAAGGTGTCAGGTGTAAATCAAAATAAAGACTTCCCTGTCAGTACCCTCAGAGACTTGAAAATATGGTTTGCTGCTTACAGGTAAACCTAGTAGGAATGACATCCAAAAGACCTTTAACAAAAATAGAACTGCTATATTTGTTTGCCAGTATCAGACATACTCTGTTTGTTGCATCTTTTCCACTGACTCTTTTGATATTCGTTTCATCTTTTATTTATTCATTTATTTAAATTCTTATTTTGCTTTTGAATTGTTATAAACAGCATTGCCAGATGGGAAGATCCCTCTGTTTCAAAGAGGTATGTTGTCATTTTCTTTCTTTCCTTCTTTCTTTCTTTCCTTCTTTCTTTCTTTCTTTCTCTCTCTCTTTCTTTCTTTCTTTCTTTCTTTCTTTTTCAGAGATAAAAAATTAATTTATTAATTAAATAATTATCTTACATGTAAGTACATAACAAAGACAAAGAACTTGAACCATACAAGGAGTACAGTGAAAAGACTTCAAGTCAAATGATACTGCATAGGATAGGAATAAGAAATGTCTGTGTGTTGAAGCATTACTCTACCATAATCACATTTTCAACACGTACTTTCCTAAGATATTTATATTGAAACCTTAGTTGTAGAAATTCTTGTTTGCTCCAATCTTCACTGTAGGTATTGTGAATTTTGGATGCACTCTATACTGTCTGTCTGAACAGTCCAGTTAATTATTATCTTAGTGGTGTTTGTGTCTAATAATACAGGCCCTTCAACCCTTAAAATCTGACTCAAGTTTTGAACTTGCTTAAGTCAGTGCTGGTGAATTTCCCCTCCTGTTTCGTGTATCTTACTTCAAATCAAGCTGTAAAGGCAGTCAACAATGTTCTGAGACAGACTTTCCTTTCTGGTGTGTACATCATTGTTAAAAGAACATTTTTATCTTTACCTTTAGGTGCTTTCTTTCTCTCTTGTTGTCAGCATGCATTTTATTTTTTCTCCCTGGAAGATACCTGGTGACTTTTGGCCTCATACTCACATTTCTAGGCAACTCAGGCTTTAAAGAAGGTAGTCTTTATAAAACACACACTTATGCATGACTTTGATTCATGGTTAATAAAAGTCTTCTTTGGATAAGTTAAACAAGTTGGATAAAGTGCAGATTGCACATTTTTGCCTGAACACAGTCATCATTGCACAATTTTTGTCACTGATTTTTCCTTTACATTCGTAAAAACCTTAATTTTATGGATGATTGAGATAAACTTAGAGTGGACCTTGCCAGTTATGACCTTTGGCATTTAGAGTGGAGCCAAGAAGTGTATGAAAAATTCGAAAATGTGTGACATGATATGCTTTTGGCTTAGATTTCTTTGTTTTCATGAAATGTAAAGGTTTGCAAATCACTTGCACACCTTAATCTTTGGATGAGGTGTCTCTTCCACTGTTTTTGCTAACGCAGGACTTAAAAGAAATAATGAACAATTTTATACTTATTGTGGTTTGCATGATTGGTTAATCTTTTCTTGATTGATAGAGGGATAGATCCTCTATTTCATTATCTTTTAATCTTTAATATTTAATTTCATTTTTCATCTTTTATCCATGTCGTGTGACAGAACCAGTTATTGCATTGTCAGAGTAGTGGGTGAAACAGTGATAAAAGGGTTATGCAATAAATGTCTCACTTGTTGGTGGATGCACTGTGAACTCTCATCAATAGTTTTATAACTTGATAGTTTTCAGGGAGGCTCAAGGGAAATTCTGGCTTAGACTACAGCGAGTGAAGAAGAATATTTTATCACAGAACTTTTGGATTGGTCTGGTAAATCCTTGGTTGGAAATTTCTTCAAAAACTCAAACTAACCTAGAAGTAACAGAAAATGATTACGATGATGAATGGGTGAGGAGTGGATTTTCTATTGTATTACAGTTTCATATTCTTGTTTCCAAGATTTTGTACGTGATTTAACCTTGTAAGGGAAAGGATGCACCTTTTTTAACCCAGAAACACGCATCTAGGTGTATACGAGAGCTGGGGTGGTTACCAGTCGTTTCGTACTCAGCTAGGTCGATTCGTAGGCCTTTGTTCGCTCGGACAAAGAGCTTACACTCGTAACGCTAGCTTTGAAAATCTTTACGGTGGCCAATTTACATTATCAACGCAGTTGATAAAACCAAATTATCTCGACCTTGAACAACGTATCGGTCCTCAAATTGCTAGTGACTCATCACCTGAAAACCTCAAAACCGTAGTTACCATTCCAGAAAATTTTCCACTTTCCTACTCCGAGAAATCCGCTCTCAGTAGGGGCTTAAATGTTTTCCCATTTCCAAAAACCCGACGAATTTTCAGTTAAGCAAGACGTTGAAAAATTCCTTCGCCGTGTTTTACGGAAGGCCTTTTTCCACGACAAAGAAGATGATTCTAACACCTCGAACAAAGATGCTTTCGAAACACCTCAGATTCGAAAGTCTAAACGCTCATGTAAAATGGTTTTATGGCCAATCAGAGCGCGCGTACTATTTGAATTATTTTATAAACAACAATCGAACTCTCTTGACACGCTCGCGCTTGCAGCGCTCGAGGTATTTTGAGAGAATGTATATTGTGACGGGTACGATTAGACCAGGGGTTTACATACGAACTGACTCAAAATGAGTACGAATTTATTGACATTGGGTACGAAACGAGTGGATACCAAATTTCTTGGAATTTTCTTTCAGTCTCACTTCAGAATAATTACCGTAACTTACCAAACGTTTCCCGGTCAATAAAGATTTTGACTTAAAATTTGGTTCTTGTGGGTTTCACGGCCTCTTAGGTAATCGGCTGTGAGTTTTTATGAAGGAAACACTGCTTGAACCTCGAATCCCATATTTGGGCAAAAATGCAGCGTTGCTTCTGATTGTTCGGCTAATAACCCAACGTGTTTTTAAACAACCTGACGGAATTTAGACGTTGCAAGGTGATATGCTTCTGTTGTAAGTTATTTTGATTTTCTCCTCTTTCTTTTCAGTATGATGCACAAGAACAGAAGATATCTCTCTCCGAGGATGAGAATTACGAGCAAGAGGTACAAGACACAACGAAACGAACAATATTTTTCAATGCTGTATTCATTTAAAATCTCAGGCAATCACTGTTTTAGTTTGAAAATCGTCATGTGCTTGTGGGCCTCTTGAGTTTTGTATACTGCTTCTGAAGCTTGCATAATATTGTATCTGCGGGGACCTGTGATAGTTGAAGTCATTTCAATTCGTATCCTTGTAGCGTTTCCTTCAAAGCTGTTTCGGAAGATCACTGTAACTATGACTAAGCAGGAACTAATCAGTAACATAACCCGAACTTTCCGCTGGACTACCCGAAAATTAGATCAATGTTTATGGTAAAATGTAAAACTTGGTCATCGCCAGTGCCCACCGGAGTCTTGCCCATCCTAGTTCTTATCATGATGTATAATTAAATCGAATCGTAAGTGTTCGGTGTGAAATTAAACGTGAGGAAACCGTTTTGTATATTTTAGTATACAACTTTTGGCTCATGGCTGTAAGTAAGACGTAAAAATATATGATTCATGACTGATATTTTTTGGTAATTCACAGGATACCCCGTTAACAAGGAGAAGTGCAAGTAAGTTAGTGATTTAACTTGAAAGAAATGTATTCGTCGCCTTTGCCATCAATTGAGAATGAGGAGTGAAGAATTTTACATTCTTTCTCTAATTCTATTAATTGTTTTCTCAGAGCGTTTCTCTGGATTGTCTGTGGTGACCCATTTCAGCGACTACCGCAGGAAAAAAAAGCGCGTAAATAGTGGTAATATGGATGTGAAGATTACTTCTGATTATTATGTTTGTAAACAAACAGTGAAACTTAACCAAACGTCATTTATTAATGAGATCAAGAACTTGACAGTGTATTCGTTAACTTCTTCTAATTGCTGCTGGCTTGAATAATAACAATCACGGAATGTTTATTTTGCTTCTTTCGTGTCGCTTTCGCTTTCGCTTTGTTAGATCGGCAGTTTTCTCGAACGCATTACTCTTTATTAGTTGGTGTAAAAAAAGAATCAAATTATTTATGCTAGTACTTCCCGTTTTTATTAGTTACTGTAATTTTCCGGTCATGTTGCTTATTATTCTTCTCTCAGTAAACTGTGCTTCATGCGATGTTACATTTTCTTCTCTGTTAAAGAAAAGGGTAAGTAAAGAAAGCTTTTTGGTAGCAAATTTACTACATTGTGTCAGTCAGTGTGCTGTTGAAATGTACTTTGTACAATGTGTGACACGCCTGGCTGAACGGCTTGCTCACACTGTATCATAGTAGCTTGCATCAGGTATCAAGTATAGAAATCGAGAGCATATAATGTAATTATTTTGGAATAAATCAAGTAAGTATTTCAAAACTAAACAAGAAGATCAGCTCATGTATTTTATACTATTAAGTTTACTCCCTCACTCTGTTAGGCACTCGCTGTCTATCACGGAATCAATTGCGAGTAGCAATAGTCAATCAGATTACAGCATATTTGAAAGAAAGCTAGTGGATATATGTTTATAACTCTTAGTTATCCATACTTCAAAATTCAGTGAATTTTTGTGCTTTCATGCTTTATCATTGCGACATTTAGTTACTGTTGTGTCTTTTTGTAGCAATACTGCCGGCATTGCGGAGATAGCTTTTGCTCTCGCTGTTGCTGTAAGCGTGTAAAAAGAGCTGTATTTGGAGCAACTGGTGAGCGAAAAAAATCTTTCTCGAAATTACCCTTTGTCGTTCCTCATGGAGAAAACAGCCATGAAATACCAATGGAAGTCAGAACTTCTCCTCCTCCTCCACTCCCTCCCCCCCTCCTCCTCCTCCACTCCCTCCCCCCCTCCTCCCCACACACCTGTCAGTTCTTTAAACTTGTTGTTGTTGTCGTTGAACAAGACTTTTCATTGTCAAGTTTTTTGTACGTGCATTTCAACTGTGTAACTGATGGTCTCAAGTTGAAAACAATATATGTAGAATTGAAGAGGCATTAAGAGAATAAAAAATAAATTATATCTAGGACCCCTGGTTTTGTGCAAACCTGATGTGTTGCATAAAGCGGGCCCTGACTTTCGTTTGCCATCATTTATTTTATTACGCGAAAATTAGGTTTATAATGTTTCCAGGAATAACAAACATTGAAGGGAATAAAATTACGTATGTTGTATGATGATAAGAACAGCTTATTGGTTAACTCAGCTGATTTGTATTTTTTCGATCTTCACGAATAGCACCGGCAGCTTATGAAGAGACAGTACTAGTTTGTAACAGTTGCCATGGCTACCTCATGAACAAAGAAGATGAAAATAAAGCGGACATTTGGTGAAGGACAATGGATTGTTAGAAAACCTGTTCAGGTGGTCGGTCGATTGTAAGGGTATGAAGCTGTTGCGCCTAGTGACTCGAGTAAAGCAGGGAACGGCTGCTTGCTGTTTAAAGCTTTCTGTATTAACGACGTGGAAGGTTTTGCAAAAACGTAATACTGGCAAAGGAAGGCCTGGATGGTAACTCCTGAGGAACACTTGTTGATTGCACTGCAAATTTGATGGAGCCGTGGTTCTCCATTTGAAATAAGATTCTTCATGATAAATTATGGTAAAAGTGTATTCTACTGTATGTTTAATTCACATAGGCAATACCCATTAATTAAATGCCCTCTGATTGGAGGAGTGAGAATTCAGATCTTTGTTTGTTTGTTATGTTTTAGGATTCATTACATATTCGGACAAGTGTAGAAACTTTCTTTGTGTGCCGTCCGATAAAGGAGGAGAAACTTTCACGTCCGATATTAAGCAAGTAAAAAGGTGAAGGCTTCTTTTTCAATTAGGTTGCCTGAATGGATAATATCGAAAATGAAACACAAAGTTTGATCAAACTACTGTAGTATCTGTAGAACTGTAGCCTTCTGTTGCGGGACGCTTCAATTTTTCACACATTTTGTCGAGTTTGTCAGAAACCTCTGCAGTTTCTACTGTAGATCAATTACCCTTGCTTGTTATTAATATCGAGTTTAAAATAATAAAGAAAAGAGACAAAAACTCGTAAAAGCTTCTTGTTCTTCCTGCACGTATGAAAGCAAAATTTAATGAAAGATTTGATGGCAAAGTAGGGGGTATCTCGCACCAGGAGGTTTTCAACGAAACATGATTAGTGGTTTTGTTTCTTTTGTATTGCCTTGATTTCTGAAGGTAAACTGAACACTGACGTGGAATAAAAAGGGAGAACTTTTCCTACATTGTATATCAGAATAGACTATTAATTGAAAGTGAAGACAAGCATGATGGCATCATGACGCCAGTGTAGACGTGTTGCAAGTTTTTTCTGTGTGTGAGAGGGTTTATCTGAACTCGAACTTTCATCTTGTATGTGTTAAGACAATTTGAAATTTGTGAACGAGTAACGAAGAATTATTACAATGACTGCATGTTCCCTTGAAATATTTATTCTCGACTATTTACACTGTATTGAGTTGGTTTAACATGTTAGAGTGATAAACGCGCTATAATTGGAGTTTGCTTTATTGAGTTGGAACACTGTTTGTGGATTCCATATTTCAGGCAATTTATGTCTTCATGATTTAATCTAAAGTTATGTGAAAGTACGCTATTTTTAGTGCGTCTGATGTTTCAAAATTTTCTTTAATTTCACGAAATATTTGAGTTTAGTGATCATAATGAAAGGTACTTGATGACGAGAATGTTTTTTTCGACTCACCAAACACCTCTGATCTTTTCTTGTCGGTAAAGGTGTTTTGCAATTTGTTTTTATTGCTTACAAGCTCCCCACCTCTGATCGCAGTAACAAGTAAATTGATAATTGCTTGCTTTTGTTATGCTTGGCCGTGAACATGGTATGATAGCTTTGTTCGTGTTTTTTATAGAGGCTCCTTTGAGTCCATGCCATTCAATGCAAAACATTCGCGGCCTTGACTGTGAGGACGTTTGAGCCGTAATGATTAGAATAAAGAGACAAATTTTGAACAGTGTAATTGAAGCATTTAGCAGCATTAAGTCGAACACAATGGGACATTCTTGCAAAAGAAATGCTTCTCCAGGGCAACCGTCATTCTGTCTGTTTATCTTAGGTCAGAGAAGCGCTTCTTGTTTTTCTTCTTTCTATCCTTTTCACTTACTTCAAAAACTATTTAACCCATGAGAGGTATGTAGATATGGTATTACATTTACAGCGCTTTAAGACAAGTGTATCTCTCGATTTTGGAATAAGACTACATTTTTAATTTGTTTGCCAATTACCCATTCTTTATGTTCAATATTAGGAATAATAAAAGAAATCTCCAATTCGTTTTGAACATTTAGCCACCAAAGAGGGAATTTATAACAATGTGAAAAAAAAAAATTTTTAGGTAAACTAAAAGAATTAATAAAGTATGTTAGTTGCATGAATAAGCGGGATCAAAAATAAAAAAAGTACAATTTTCTGTTATCAATGAAACTTTTTTTGTTTATTCATTTGGGACTCAAAGAAAAGTTGACACATGTAGTGCGTACGAAATGTGCAAATACAATTTAGATTAACAACATGTGCCTCTCCTCCAAACAGGACTAGTCATACTAATTTCAACAAAAATGTTCATTTCTTCACTGAAAACAAACTAGTTCAAACGTTTACGATCCGTGCGTTTTCAAATAGGAGGATAACTTTACTTTTGTCGCCCCAGATGTATTTTCTGAACGGAGTGATCGTTCTTTTAAAGAGGAGAACAAAAGGGAACGTAATTAAGCCGTCATAAGACCAGAAGTACTACTCAGGTCAGGTGACATCACGAACATGTGAATCCTGAACGTGATCTCGTTGCGAGAATCGTCAAATTCGTGATTGCTGAATTATTTGTTGATCCTTTTTTCTTAATTATTACAGTTTCCTGAGTTAAAATCAATGTTTCGACAATATGGAGCCGTTTCCCAGAACTGGGAAACACAGGTTACGGTTTCTTAAACTACAGGAATAGGAAAATCTCGTGAAAGAGTTAGATTTCGTATCATTCCATATTAAATTTTGGTTTGGTGTTCAGATGAAATGATGTCCTTATCAGAGGAGGTTACACGTTTATGGATCATTACAAAAAGATTAAATAAGTTACAAATGCATGGACAACTATTAAAATAAGAACGAACCTGGCGAGAGAACTGCAGGCAAACGGGACTACGAATTGGCTCTGCTCAAAGCCACAGATCATCATTCCAAAACACTGAAGTACTTAGAAAGCGCCTAGATAAATGCAGATGTACTTTTAAGGATGCATTCTTGGTTTTCATCATACATCTTTCATCAAGTAAATGCTCTATAATAATGTTATTTGGCGCATTTCCTTCATTGCTGGATTTAGTTGCTAACGTGTTTGCAAGAGGTTTTGAGTTGTCTGGCAACAGTTTGTCATAAATACAGCTACTGAATTACTTTCCGCTTAGATCTTCATAGACGCATTGGCTGGCGATAATCAAGCAAGTATTAATTTTCTCGGACATTGAGGTTGAAAGTATTCGTCCATGTTCAAGAAGCAGCCACTCAGTATGTATCAGTCTTCGTATCGTTCGTTTTGCTCTTGTCCACACCCAAGCTGCCTAGAGGAGCGGGACAGTGGCCATGGGTGCCAAGTACCTCTTTCGTGCCAAAACTCAAGCGAATCTCACCTGCGATTACAAGCCAGTTCACTACAGCTACAGATGGAACGGGACTCAGGCGTTTACTCCAAAGCAGATCCCTCGGCCTTCATTCCATCTGCATTCGGCATTATTTCGAGACCCTCTCGATTTTATGTTCCCTCGGCTCACTGTAATCTCTCCAGCCAACAGATAATTTTTCCATTCAGTCAAACATCTCACAGCAGACAGCATGGTAAGTAACTTTATTTAAAACATTCTTTTTCTTGAATTCTTCGTTTCTTTATTCTGAATTTACATGTACCTCTTTTATTAACGTAAGTATTGTTGTTTTCATTATCATCTTTACGATGTACAATGTTGAAACTTCAAGCTCAGATTTAGTGATATTGTACTGTTGCGTGGCGCGGTAAATAAACAATGAATTTGCGATTTCCCGAACAGTTTGAATTCTGTGTTGGTCCTTTTTGTTCTTGGCGTACACTTTTCAAAAACTATCATAGCAATTATTTTGTAATGTATTCATATTTAGACAAAAGAAGTCATAATAAGTTGTTTTAGACAGAAACAAAAGCACAATACTGAGGAAGAGAAAGTAGAATAACAAACTCGAATCCAGACCTATTAACACAGTTTTTAGGGGGCGAGAAAAGACACAGCTTTTCTGTTCATAAGTACAAGACCCTATGCTTTCTCTGGATTGACTCAGTTCCAGTTGCTTCTTAGGCGGGCGATCTTCGAATTGGTTGTGCCTTGAGCCTGGTCCATAAAACTCAACAACGTTTTCTTTAAACCACGTGCTCCGTCACGTTACTGGGTGTTTTGATGGAAAATCAGCTCAAGAGAAAGTGTAAAAGCAGTAAAGGACCTAAGGACCTTAGGGAAGGCTTGGAACATCATTTTGGACAATCTATCACACATAAGATGATAATTTTCAGGTCAATTGTGGTGAAAAGCTAATATACATTTACAAGTTTTTTTTTATCAAAGACAAAAAAAGGTCTGTAATTTGAAAGAATTACAGACCAATTGCAAATTGTGTATATGGCAAATAGATGGAACAAAACGTTTTCGCTTAATTGAAGTCATTATTCAAGAGATTTAAGGTCAAATTGATAAACCATAGACAAAACCGAGAGCATAATTATCATTAAGGCTTCCATCTTCAGTCTGCAACTGGGAATGCACTTATGTACTTGAATCTTTTCTGTCTTCGCTTCTGTTCGTTAGCAATATGATCAAAAAAAAAAACCAAAAATTCAACAATTAACCAAAATTAGATCTATTATTTTTAAGTATATTTCAATAGAGCTGTTGACGTCCTCTTTTTGTCAGGTAACCTGGTTATTGGACTAAGAGACAAACCGGAGATAAAGAAGCGTCGTAAACGAACCATTTTCACTTCAGATCAGTTAAACCGGCTAGAATCAGCTTTTGATCGTCAGCAGTATCTTGTCGGTACAGAGAGAGAGCGTCTTGCCAGGGAGTTAAATCTCTCCCAGACTCAGGTCAAGATTTGGTTCCAGAACAGAAGAATTAAATGGAGGAAGGAACATTTGTATGCTGGACATGAAGATGGTCAAGGGGAAAATAACATTATGAGCCAAAGACTCTAGTTCCTTTTTGATCAGTTTCGTTTCACAACCAGCAACTTGTTCAAGATTAGAATGGTTGCCAGTGAATCGTGATCTGAAGTATAAAATTACAAACTCTTGTACATGATTCTTGTAGACTGAGTAGCCTTTTAGTTAAAATAAGTTAACCTGATAACTTGTGCATATATTGAATTACCGTCTAAATATTTAGGGTTGTACGGCGCCAGTTTGTTTTTACGACTACACTGCTATTACCAAATTGATTTATTCTCTATTCATGTACCAAATACCTCAATCAGATGCAAAACTGACGTAGATTTACGGAAAATTTGAGAATCGGTCAATTACCAAAAGAGCTCTTGTCCACTCAATTTAACTACACAGATGGTGCTTTACAAAACATGACATTCAGCTACTAGCTTTTTTAAATCAATTATACTATGAATGCTAAAGTGATTTGAAGGCGGTGATTTCACGATTAAAAGCAGACACCCTCTAGGCTTTTGTAGGTTTAGTATCATTCATTACAGGTTCTAGTTATGGCTGGAGAAAAAATTTGTGATAGGACATGGCTCAAAAAAATTTTAAACATGTAAATTTTTACGGGCTTACGACTGAAAAGAAAAATGTATATACCCCCTTGATGTGTCCCCTCAGAGCAGGGTTTGTGTCACAAAAGTGTTTATTGTATGAACTGCTTGAATTATGTAGCAAATTACTAAGGGATAGAATTATATGTGGCAGGTTCTCTTACAGAGGGTCATATTTTGTTTCCGTGCTATTTTTTTTTCCAATAAATTAAAGGATACACGTGTAACTTATTAGACTTGATTACTTTTATTTCTCATGTAAAATTTATTTGAATTAGATTTAGGTCTAGTTTAAATATCAAGTTTATGATATATAAACAATAGCCTCCGTTTGGCGCGAAGGGATGCTTGGATATTTTTCCGCAGACATTATCTGTTCCGTGATTCTTAGGAGCTTCGGTAAATTGTTGTTAGGCCCTGTACATTTTCTGGTATTGAGCGCCAATTGAACATAAAATTGGAGGTCACTTTTTTCAAAATATTCTCACCACAATGATCTTTTTAACGAACGTCACATATGTACTTTTACAGTGTTTTGCATGGCAAAAAGGTTAGTTGCAATGCTAAAATCTCTTTGTGGAGTGTTAACTACTTGGTGGTTGCATCCGAGTGTTTGTCAATCGCCGCAGGGTACTTTTAATAGCACTTCGAAACTCTTTTACTCGCCAAAAATATACGAACGGGTTCAGAGAAGAATTTAAGAAGATTATCGTTCCAGAAACTTCCAAAGATATCTTCTTGGTCGTACTGAGTCCACCAAGTTGTATGACAGCTGCTGTACAAAGATAAGGGAAATAACAGAGAAAGAGAAGGACACAAACAATGAACGTATTTACCACCGATCTAGTGTAACTCGGAAAGCTGATTCTGCTGGCAATTGAGTGAGAACTTTGTTTGAGGTTTTCTTGATTGTTGATTTGTCGACGATGTCGTCTGATTACTTGATAAATCTTGCAATACATTAAAAGTATGATAGAGAAACATGTCGTTGAGGAACCAAACCCAAGAAAGTAAAATAATCGAATGTCTTGCGTCCAGATGAATCCCCATGTCCCTGACAACAACCAAGAGCCGAGGATAAACACACAAATTCTTCTGTTTGTTACCAGGCATCTATATCTCAAGTGTAATAAAAGTACAAGGTACCTGTCCACGCTAATTAAAGTTGCGGTGATAAATGACACTCCCGACAGACTGCCTGAAATGACATCAAAAGCAGACATCAGAGCCAGTGGCCCATCTTTGCCGGTGACAAGAAAGTACACCCGTGTTATAATGTACAGTGGTTGTGTCACGGTTCCAACTAATAAATCAGTTAAAGAAAGAGCGAACAACAAAGTGTTGGACGGTGAATGCAGAGACTTGGTCCGCCAAATAGAAAGAAGGATGACGGCGTTTCCAAAACTTGCAATAAACAGACCGATAGCATTAACAACGCAGTTGGCAAGCAAACAGGTCCTTAACCTCGCGACTGTATTTGTTTGATTATCCCAATGATGTAAAATGAAATTTTCCATTGTGATATGTCGCTGAAATTGAAGAAGCTGTCTTTGTCGACACCAACACACTCACTCGCTCTCTAGAGAATGAATAAAAGCATAACGTATTCAGTTTAAAATTACATTTCACGACCCTCTTCGGAGCATAATAAATGGCTCACAGGAGATGTTTGTTGGAATACCTTTTGATATGATAATGGCCTAGACGATTAGACTTCTTTACAGGGGTTATCTACATGAGCTCTGAGCAAGTTGTCTTTGCGTGGGATTCTGCTTATAACAACGCAGTGATGCAGTAAAATGGTATCTAATCAAGAGTAGCAGTTTTGTTGAGGAAGAGGTCTAGTTTATCATAATTAGCGTCGATTTTTTAAGGGTTGAGATGCATGCTTAATATGTAAAGCCGTCGAAACAGATCCGTCCTAAAAGATTACTGTTTTCACCAGCCAAGTAAAGTAATGAAGATACTCCCATGGTTTTCTTTTCTTTTCTTTGTTTTTGTTACTGTGTAAATTTCCTGTATGCCCTTAAGTTTCCCCTTTCATTTTCGAGGTAATTCTGCCCATCAACATAATGCTCTCAGTAGGGAATTGTGTAACTGGACTAATCATAAAAATTACAAATTTTCCCGATTGTGATTGGTTCAAAACAGCTTCTGTTTTTCCTTTAATTTACTTTCCAAGTTTGTTATCAGCTGGTTCAATAAGCCAATCGCATCCAAACTTGTAGTTTAAGTCAACCAATCACAACCTTGGTTTTCCCTTTCTTTCATAACTTGGCAATTCTTCTTTTCTCGGAATTTTAAGATTTCGTGTCGTCCAGTTCGTATAGGTAATCACATGATTTCGAGTGCAATTTGGAATAAATAAGCACGAGTAAATTTTTTTAAAGACTAACAAAATTGCACGAGCCCGTAGGGCGAGTGCAATTTGTGGTCTTCGAAAAAATTAACAAGTGCTTGTTTATTCCAAATTGCACGAGGAAAAACATGTGATTACGTGTTAATAATATACATGGAAAAATACGAGATGGCTTATCATAATTAAATATAAGCAAAGCGCGCGCATCAAGTGCAAAAAATAATTTATTCAAACCGTGCGTTCGGTCAAAACAACCGCGTAGGATCAAAACAATAATAGGCAATGATATCTTCACATCTTTAAGGTGCAAGAAAGTTCAAAGTCCGACTAAACAGTTTAAGGAATAGATCAGTCAGGAATCGTCATTTCCGACTGTTTTTAATTTCGGCGTTGGATCGCTCGAGCAAAGTGTTAAGCTGGGTCGGCTCGTAATTTTCGATTTCCTTGGCAATTCCCCTCTCTAAACACCCCATTTTTCCAAACTGACAACCAAAAAGCAGTGCTTTTTATAGTGTTTTCGTTGTTTAAGCTGTTTTTCAGCTGCGGTGGCGAAAGAAAACCTACTTAAAACGCCGGCCATTGTTTCGCTCCCAAATTTTCAAATTTTGTTGCGCCATCCAAGCCTCGCATTTGATTGGCTATCTATGAGTTTCTTTGATTATTGACCAATCAGAATGTCTGATTTGTTTCTTTCTTTGCACTGAATTAACCCTCTTCTGCACTGAATTAACTCTCTTCTGCACTGAATTACCTGAAAACTGCATTTATCTTAACCAATCAGAACTGAGTAATTTTTACATGTATATTATTAGTTCTGTAATCATACTTGTGATAGACAAATCGGACTCCCGCTGCGCAGTCATCCTATTTTGTTATCACTCAGACCGAGCAATAGTCCCATTATCATAACTAATATGGACTTGCACACAGCTTACAATTATTTGCATGAGATCTTATAAAATCATATCAAGCATATCTGGCAAACGACAGAGTCGACCACATTCAATCTTAGATAAAACTTCCTTAGGCGGACGATTACTCTAAAGGATGAAATATCGGATTTAAATTAAGTTCCAAAACTAATCTATAGCTGATAAATAAGTGCGTTCCTTTTTAAATGTCAATCTTCGGTCAAACTTTGGTTTTTTGAAAATTTGAAGATATTTGAATATATCATTTTGCCAGAAGAGCTTTATTCAAAGTGGCGGCAGTTTATAAACTTTTCATCCTCAGAATCTTACAAGCCCAGTACCTTCGTAATCAGCCAATAGGGATTATTTTCACTTTGTCGGGCATTGTGGCGCATTTTGCGCTAAGCAGCTTGGGCTAGTCGCTTTTTCCGTGAGATACCTGTGGCAGGTCCACGGTAAGGTTTGTCCGGCGTTTCCTATTCGTCGTCGACGCAAGTCGACAAACTCTTAAAATGCTTGGAATGTTTAACATTTTCCGTATCACTTAACCATGACTGAGTTGCTAGTAACCGGATCATTGTGTTGACGCAAAGTTGTTTCGACGTAAAAATACACGATTTTGATGAGAGATCGTCGCTTTTCCGCCACCATATTATTCCAGATGGATTTATGTCATGATGATGAGGGGGAAGCATGCGTTTTTGCGTGATTAACCATGAAATATGTAATAAAATCTACCGATAAACCTCTCATCTTGCGTAAGGTTTAACAGTTGTAAAATTGACATCGCGCAATGGTCTCGAAATATCACAGAATTAAAAAATCGCCAGGAAAGAGACCATCAATCACAAGACCATTACAGTCTTATAACAAAAACCATCTGTTCCTTGGAAAATTTTAGCTCTCCTTCCCTGGTTCCGAGCAAAAAGTTTCCTTGGTGGCTCCAAAAACTTTCATTATGTGTTTTAGGGTGACTGTACATTAACGCGTGTCTTGAGCTGTAAACAAAGAAGTTCAAGTTAGCCTTGCGTAGCTACGATGACAGTTCAATACAATATTCCGAGACTCACAACATGATATGGCACCTGTTTGTGTAGGGGAAAACAAAATTTGAATATACAGAGATTGAATTGCGATGAGCTTGGAATTTCGTAATGACAGTTCTGACCTGAAAGTTACGCTGTTTATGAAATGATTACCGTTAGGCGGGGCAGGATCTTGAAATGCGACACAATTCTGTTACTTTCACTCATTTTTACTGTTTTGGCATTAGCACTGATTATTGTTTTAATTCATGGGGATTTGGGAAATTACAATGAATCTGAAAAGTGGAAAGTAATCCCTGTTCTACACTAGGATATTCGGTGTCCAGCCGACCACAATATGGCCGGCGGAATCTCTTCAAAAGTGTAAAGTTCCCTGGTGTAACCTAACTGATGACACACAGTTATTGCGTCAAAGTGACGCCGTCATTTTGCATGGAAGAGACATGCCAAGTGAATTACCTAGACAACGATCAACCAATCAGCGCTGGGTTTATGTTATTCAGGAAAATTCTCATTATACAACACCCGAGCCCTCTAAGTATAACGGAGTGTTCAACTGGACAATGACATACAAACGATCATCAGATATATGGGCTCCTTATGGCAGCTACCGAAAGAAAAACATCGATGACCGAAAAAATTATAACTCAGGTATAACAGATGAGCAACAAAAGACGTTCTTACGGGTTGTTCGAAACGCAGTAAACAATTGATTTCTCGATTGAATGTTTTGAAAACTCCCTTAGACTAAAGGTTCACTAAAGTTGGACCGAGTGCTGGCCGGGAAGAGAAGGTCTTTTGGCTAGTCTCCTTTCCTGCGCATTAAGTAAGGTCTACTAAGCTTGGCAGACTCGCGGTCTTCGCCCCAAAGCTCAGTGTTTATTGTAAGTTTGGTGGTTGTTCACCTTAATTAACAGCTGGTAACATGACATGAGTTTTATAAACTAGTTTGATCTCCCACTAACTAAAGCTAAATTCTATCATTGATTATAATAAAGCTCGGATATAACACGTACTGTCTTTGGTTGAAAGAGCGTGCTCTATGAGAGTATAGAGCATAGAACTGAGTTAAAGCTGTCACGCCATCTGCCAAATCGTACTATGTCCGACCTTTTCCGGGACTTCTTTCTAGCTTTTCTTTAGTTAATTAAAAGTGAAATTTTGGAACAAGCGAGCAAAGGTTTGCAAAAATGCCAGGCGCAGTAATTTACGTTACTGTAATGTGAGCAGAGACAAAAATCCTCAAAGATAAAACAAGATAGACAGTCCGAGTTTTTTTAACGGTTTTCACGCTCAGTTAGATTGCGAGTTTACGTACGGTAATAAAAATTAAACACAGCTAACACTTGTATAGTATATAAAGTTTCGATTTCAAATAGAAAAAACCAGGAATGATGAAAAATATAACCTGGCATAACTGTTAAAATTCATACTAATCATGACGGTGTCAGAGCGACTTAAGGTCTAGCTAATCATGGCGATCTTCGGTCATCGCAGTGGAGCAAGCCTCAGGAACTAAATCGACTACCCTTCGAGTGAAAAAAATAAGAGCTTGCCCTGATTACCTTTCCGATGCGTTGAGTGGAAGGCCAGATCAGTCACTGCAACCGAGTTTTACGGCGCTGTCATTCCGAGCGATCTTTTTGTCTTAGTGAATTCGGCTGTTGTTCATTCATAATACACTCGCCTTGAACAGTTTGTTTTCTACTTGTCATGTGAAATAACTTACGTATTTTTGTGAGCCACGTTTGGGCCGAATTGACATTTTTGACAGCTTTAGTCTTGTAAAGCCAATCAGTTTATTTGAACCATTCTAACAGGGATTCTGATTGGCTTATTGTAGCGTGCTTCATGAGAGTTTATATAAGTTCAGTTATGCACGCATTCTGATTGGTTCTCACTTATGATCTATTGGAGGACAGACGTATAGAAGACGTCATCATCAAAACTTCTTAAATTCTTTATTATATAAAACAAATAGATTCCAAGTTGCCGTGCGTCTGTTCAGTAATAGATCACAGATGACGTCAAAATGTGGTAAGAACAAAAAAGTGGCACACGAGGCGCAGCCGAAAATATTTTTCTAACCGTAGCGCCATCTTTAACAAAAGAGTTATTAATGTTAACCCTGTTCCAATTTGAGTTAAACTGATAAGAAGTCAATAATTCGGCAAAATTTTAAAAAGAGAAAGCATTCTGTCACCAGTTTATTTCAAACCCACACCGACATATTAATAGGATCTCTTAATGAGAAGAAATGATCTAATAGTATGAAAAAGCCACTGTTTCACCCCTCACTAGTTTAACGCCAACAGGTAAGTCAGCTCCCATTGCTTAAGGGAGTCAGAAACAGTTTCCAAACTTCTTCGAATATTTTTTGATTCCCAACTTTCTCGATGCGGGTCTAATGAAAATTCGCGTCCACACGTACCACATTCGAATCGTTTTAGTCCGTTCACATGAATTCGATACGCATCCGGATATCTCAACGCTTTCTCCAACAGAGCATGCGCTCTATCAAGAGACTTGAGGCGATAAATATTAGCAGCCTATTTTTTTTATACTTGAAGTTTCAACACGTGTCGCTTGGAAAACTGGCTAAGTACGAGAAAAGATGTCACAATCAAACAAAAGACATGTAAAGGAGAGTCCTTTATTTGGATAAATCATGAGGTCGAGTTATTGGTTAAAATCACGATGAGCAGAGCGGCCAAAACCATCAAAAATGTCGACAACGTTAGCCCTCCTTATTCGCTCGGACGAAGGGCAAACGCTCGAAACGCGAGCTTTGAAACTCTTCATGGTGGCCAATTTACGTTATCAACTCAGTTGATAATACTAAATTACCCTGTATTCTATAATAGACGGATTCAATCGTTAACGCTTATTGCACTCTGAGAAGTGTTTCAAAAAGTTGCAGATTCATCAACCGTATTCACCAGGTAAGTGTGGACGGAACGAAAAAGTTGCAGAATCAAAAATATCCGGATGCGTGTGGACGGGGCCCTAATGCTGCCTGAGAAATTAAGAAGTCCTTCAACCTTGGCTGTCACTCATTTTTGAATCATTCTTACTCTGAATTCAGTTCATTCCAAAGGTTTCAAAAAATTTGATGGCGCCCAACCGGACTTTCCTCCAATCGTTACTAACCACCAACCTCCCTCATCCATTTCAAGCACTTCCATGCGATCGCCTTTTTTAAAGCTGATACAATCTTGATCCCCTTCGTCAGCGTATTCTGCCATAGCTACATAAACAGTTTTCGTATCTTGGTGTTGCGCCTTCTTTGGAGGGTTTGGTTTTGCTGGTCTTTTGGGCGCTACTGGTTTAATATTCACCCTCTCTAAGTAAGATGCTGGTACCCAACCTTCCTTTCCACCCTTTGTCTTGACCAACCACCACCCATTATTGGAGTCTTCTACAAACTCAAATTCGTCTCCAGTACAAAACGATAAACCTTCACCATTTTCAGAGGAGAAAGACTCTAAGGCTTTGCAGAAGATGTTCTGTTTCACAGGAACACGAGTTGGTTTCGTAATCGATGATTTCACTGAGACTTCTGGAGGCCAGATCTTCGAACGTGGTTTTACTTGAGGTTTGGCCGGAAGATCAGGTTTCTTAGGAACTGAATTCAGTGAAGAGACAGCCATTTTGGTGGTATTCTTTGCAGGAACTGGTAACGGCTTCCTTTGCTGCGACTGAGCATAACTTGCACCTTTTCCAGACTGAGATGACGCGATGTTCGGCATTTGTTTTGCAATCGGCTTTGCGCTTACAGGGGCGACTGGTCGAGGAGGAGCTGCAGACTTTTTTTCCGTGCTTGAAACAAGATAGCTTGTTGGTGCCCAACCCTCTTTGCCTTGGATTCTAACATATGACCATCCATCCGGATTTTGTTCGATTAACTGCGCTGGTTGCCCTTCTTTGAAGGAAATGCCACCTTCAAAAGTGTCATTATAATCTGCTAACGTGAAAAACGTAGCGTTACCCTCTGGAATTTTTTCTGGAATACGAGGGGAGGGTTTAGGAATGTTTATTGAGGCATTTGAAGATTCTGCTCTATTGGCTTGTTGTTTCTCCAGCAATCTTTTACCCAGGTATGAGGATGGTATCCAACCCTCTACTCCACCGATTTTTCCCAGCCACCATCCATTTGGAGCTTTCTCGACAACTTCCACAGACATTCCTTCAGTAAAGTTTAACGCTCCCTCTACACCCAATGAACGAAAGTCGCCAACGGTAAAATATTCTACTTCAGGAGACTTTGAAGTAGGTGAATCGCGTATAGCCATAGTTTTCTCGTATGACATGTTTGTGATGTGAACTGGCAACTTTTTGGACCTTTTGACCTGGAGATCAAGCACAATGTATGTGTGTTAGTTTACTTATCTCAATATAATTACTCCCAGATAAGAGTGTCCTAATAGCGTGTGAACAATCATGACGGCCAAGAAAACGCACGTAACAGGAGAAAGGCCCTGGAAACGAAGGTGACCGAGTCACCTATATAAGATGCAAGTCTTGCAAAGAACCCAGTGAATCGAAACCGAACAACTTTTTTTGGAACGTGAAAAAAAAATGAAGGACTGGCTTTAAGACTTCGGCCTTCGGACTCTCAGAGACTAAATCGAAGGAGTTTTATCGGTCAGGCTAAGTCAACTCTTCAAAAAAAAAGAAATTTATCTGTAACAAATTTAATCCCAGAAATTCTTCTTGTAAATTATTCGAACTCAATGAGAAAACAGAGATAGACATGGAAATTTCGTTTCGCCGCACACTATAGTCTACAATAGATTGTGTTCTCTAATATTATTAAAAGAGTCTTTTTGCTAAAGACTTACCGAAGCCTTCCTTGGAGGCACTTTCCGACCTTTCGTTCCAGTTTTGTTGGAGCCTGTTTAGAGAATGCAAAATTACAAAAAAGCAAACACCCGAAATGAAGCTTGGTAACGATGCACGTCAAAGAACGAATTGGAAAATTCCAACACTTGAAAAGGATGAATGAAAAAAATTCAAGCCTGCACAGGATTTGAACCCATGACCTCTGCGATACCGGTGCAATGCTCTACCAATTGAAATAACAAGCCTGGCATCTGGGAGCCGGTCATTATATTAATTCTTACCAAATAAACCCGCGAAGTTATGATTTAGTGACTGTGAATATACTAAAATCATATTTGCGAACTTCGGTTTAAGAAATGAAGTTGAAGGCGATCTTCGCAGAAATTAACACAACTGAAGCAGTAGTGACAATAAGGCCTGAGCCAACCATAAACCCACAAAGGCCTGAATTTTTTTCAGGCCTTACTTTCACCACTGCTTAAGTAGTGTTTATTACTGCGAAGATCGCTGTCACATTCATTTCTTAAACTGCAGTTCACATATAATAATATTCATTTTTCTTTTAACAGGACGGTTGTTGAAGTTGAAAAGCAATCCATACCATGAATTCTAGAAGCACTCTGTACACCACTCGCCACGCTTGCAGTTTTCTCTCTCGCTAAAGACTCTGAACCATGTCGTATGGCTTCAAGCTGAGAGGGATCAGCTTTCTTGAGGTACATGGCTGGCGCCCAACCCTCGCGATTCTGATACCTTAAAGAGTGTTAAGAAAAAGCATAAGAGGGCGTTATGAAAATTGTGCCTTGGCCATTCACATATTATCACTCCTACAAACAGAGCACACCTTTCTTCAATTTTCCTCTGTACCGTTTAATAACTAACAGTTACAACGTATATTGCTTGATCTATTTCAGGCTTTGACGACAATTCAATTGATGTAAATATTATGGAGAGTACTCATGGAGAGTACTCACCGAATAAGCCACCATCCATCAAAATTCTTCTCTATCACGGTCACTAAAACGCCAACCTCAAATGAAATTTCATCATCGAGTTCTGCTTTGTAGGTTGTTGTTGTAATCATTCTCTCTTAAAAAAAAATAAAGATAAGTAGCGAAGAAGGGAAGACTCAAATAGGATCGAACAAGTCTCATGGGTACGATGGGCACGGAGATCATAACTGATATTGAGGGTATCTGGTACTGTGATTGTGGTTGTTGCTAAAGATGACACAGTAAAGGCTATGAAAGCTGTTGTTATTATTGAGGAGGTGTTTGTTATTGTTGAAAGAAAGACGTTCAGACCTGCAGACATATATCTAATGTTCCATCAAAGAGTTTTGTTCGAGCGTGATTGTCTTGGGTGCGTCCCGTAGCCCTAAATGCCTCAACTTAAACTGGTAAAATCCAGTGATAATCCTCACATGTTGCACCCCAATTTTCGAACTTTACGTCCAAGGCCACGAATGTCTTCCTTTTAAAGTTGACATAATCTGGAAGAGTGTTTTGTGATTGCTACTACAATAAAGACAAACTTGTTTGTTATTTAAGTCGCTCTGAGATGTCAACATCTGTTGTTAGTGGTATCCAGTTTTCTCTATCCGTTCCAAAACAATTTGAAGAATAATAAACACGTAAGTCTCCATACGGCTCGAAAATATGTTCGTAAATTTACATTACATGTACCTGTTTCTTTGAGCTTCACTCACAGAAATTCTCAGGTAGATAGTCTTGGTGGACAAATATCCGAGCATAATTTCCAGCCGAAAGTGGCTAGTGTTTATAAAATACCATTATACACCATTAGAATCGAGGTTGATCACTTGCTTGGTACAACAAGGTAACTTACCTCCTGATTCAGTCACTAATTGATTGGCAGACTCATCTAAGCTGCCATCCTCACGCTCAAGATAAGCTGCTGGAACCCAACCCTGCTCTTCATCTACATTAACAAACCACCAACCTGATAAATAATCACATTAAATTGAGGTAAATCTCACAAAAGCCAAAAGTATTCTAGCTTTGAAAAAAAATAGACCTTTACAGCTGCTTTTACTTTGCTTTAAGGCAATTTATGGATCACTTGTTATGAGTTAAAAGCAATGATCAACTTCCCAAGTTTAAAGCTACCATAGTAAAGTATAGCCTGCTGAAAAACCCCTTAATGTTAATTTTGACAGCTTGACTGTACAGAAGGTTACACAGACAAGAGAGAAATGAAAGTTATAAAGAGAAGAGAGAAGTGTGCCATTTAATTGGTTGAAGCTTAAACTTTATCTTGCCACAATCGTCTGCACAGTTATCATAATGCAATCAAACCTCTATCAAGCAGTTACCTAGATAATTGTTGGGTGGTACTTTCAATTGAGCTTTGATCAAGATGTATTTTGGGACCCCTGCAAATTACTTTTTGACTTTCCAAAATTCGCCATTACAAACCAAAAACATATTCTCCCTAAACAACAGCAAAAGCATCTAAATTCTTAGAGTAAAATTTAAACAAAGAATATCATCTTACTGGAATTTTAAATTAGGGAATATCACCTGGCAGCTTATCCAGCTTATCAAAGAATGATTAGGTCACAAGAGTGGGTATATTGTTAGAAATATACAATTGAAATTTTTGTACTGCCCAACTAGTAACCTGTCAGTGGCCTCTTAGTTATCTGTCAGCCAACAGTTGGCTGAAAGTTGGTGGACAGGTCTTTTCAGAGAGCTGTTCTCCATAATAACCAGGGAGTGAGAGTAATGGCAAAATTAATATTTCCTAGATTTAAAACATGACAAACAATACTCCTACCCTAGGATTAGGATTGTTAGCTAATATTCATTCCTCTTCTAGCACAAAATTGTTAACCAAGAGGTGTTTTCAACAGGTTTAGACAAGTATCACTATTACTTTATGACAAGCATTGTAGAAATGTTATGTAGCTATTGGTCACTTGACAAGCAGATATTTACTCTACCTCATTTGGAACAGCTATCTCAGACCATAAAACAACTAAAAAAAGGACCAGCTTTGAAAAACTAATGATAAAGGTCAACTGTCAGTCAAGCACAAAAAAACAGATATCACAATGACTCATCATAATTTTTCCAAGAAAGTTGGAATGGAGAGTTGTTTGAAGATTCCATGTGTAAAGATTTTGTGTGTACAGCCTCAAATCACATCTCCCCTTTACACTGCAATTTAAGGGTTACTATAGTTCCATACCATTTTCATTCTTGTCAATAACTTCCACAATATCTCCCGCAACCATGTTAACTTCATTTCTATTCTGCTTTTTGTAATCTGCAATGGCCACATACTGTTCCAACATAACTGGCCCACTTATGTGGTCAGCTGTTTATGAAAAGAAAACAAACAATTTTAATCATGACCTCTGCTTTTAAGAGGATCTTACACTGAGTAAGTCTGTGGTGTATTTATAAGTACCACTCAGATCTCATGTCTGGTGTGCAAGATTTCTTTCCAGATAAAAGCTGGATTGTATATGACATTTTTCAATGCAGAGTTTCTTGCATTTTTGTTATTGATAGAATTAATTGGTAATTGCACTTTATATCATACAATTCAGGGGTAATTTTGCAAGTAATTTCCAAATGACCTCACACTATGTTCTTGGCCAATTTAAAATAACTCACCCAATTACTCCCTGAATTTTACTCCACTCAGTCCTCATACAATTACTAGTCTTAATGTCATCAAGAAAAATGAAAACTTGCACTCTCATAACCAAGTTTGCATTCAAACAAAAATGCTTGAACTAGAAAAGTACCTGAATCCTTTTCCTTTCTTTTCTTGTCTTTCCTATAAGAGGAAATAGTTTAAAATTACTTTTAATGAAATAGCTTTTACCACTTTTTCAAAAAGTATCCATACCCATTTGACAGGGGATTATTGGTTTCAATCTCCAAATCTCTTGATAAATTTTGCTTGAAAAACCATCTACCCATTCCCCTTCTTAAACTTAGTATATGTGTTAAGTCTAATCTCATTACTGGTCAATATAAAATTTTCAAATTTCATTATAATCTTCCTGCAATTTTCTTTGACTAAAAAGCTGTCCATTGAAAATAAATACTATATTAGGGAATTTCTTCCTTTTTCATCTAAAATATATTTAAAAAAGAAATGGCAATGAAATTACTGGACTTAAGTAACCAACGTAAAACAAACTTACTCCTTAGATGGAAGGTCTATGTCCTCTGGTTGTGGCTCAAAGAACTTCAATACAGTGCCACTAGTGGATATCTTGGGTGGTAGCGAGATTAGCTCCTGAAATATGTTAACATTATAATAATCAATTAATGACAAGCTTCATGCCAAGTGTTCCAAGGAAAAAAAGGCCCACATACTGCACAAGGTTGACAAAGTACATGTACAGATAAAAAAGACTGCATGGTGACACAAACTAAATATTGTATACCTTTGCCAGAGGTATTTAAGAATGAGTAAGAGAATAATACTGAAAACAGGAGGTTGGGAATTCATAGGTAAAAACAGAAGGTTTCTAAAGAGAACTCAGATCACTCCTGAAATTTGTCCCACCTTACAATATTCACCAATGGGTTCCTTTCTACGTAATGCTACATCTCGCACATGACTTCTTCCAAATATAATTTTACCTGTATACAAATCACACAATTCATCACACACATTTGGATAGTCCATAATTAACCCGTAGTTCATACAAATATAAGAGCTTAGGGAAACTCCCTTCTTACAAATATATACATGTATAATCATTATAATATATAATAACATGTATAATTGTTATAATATATAATGATATGTATCATTATAATAATAATATGTATATGAAAATTATTCATAGGTTTTGCACACTGTCATTCCAAACCACCAAAAACTCTGATTGGCACACATTGTTTCAAATCTTATTTCCAATAGTGCAGGTGCATTTGAGTAGTTTGGAGAGCATTTGAAATTTACCAGTGTCTTTCAATTAAACATCCTGTAACTGATACACTTTTCTCATATTCTCATAACTTCCTGTTTGCTATGAGAACCACATAAAAGCATGGAGACTATAGACCAATTCTTCAACATCAACAACAAAATGACAGATTAAAATATGGTGATAACTTCTTTACTGGCATCATCCAAACTACATGAATGCTGTAGCAAACCTGGCAAAAATGGCAAAATCCTCTTCGAAGGATCTTTTACACCACTTTCATGAGGAAACTCTTCCAAAAGTTTAGTCTGTTAAGCAATAGCAACTAAAAAATTTATTATCCAAATATTTCAAATTAGGATAACATAACTAGGAGAATTCAAGGGCAAAGGATTTTGAAAGCATTGTTACCATTATGTGATAAGCAAGGCTGACCAATATTGCATCTATCAGCAGCTTTATATAAGGAGACCTAACATAGTAGTTTACAGAAAGTAAACAATCACTAAAGGAAGATGATTAAATCAAAAGGAACAAGAAGGGTTAATATTGCAGGAGTATTAAACATGGATCTACAACAATAACAAAAACAAGGTACACTGTAAGTTATGGGGAAACAAACTGCAATGTAGCCTCTCAGAAATTGAAGCATGTTGGGAATGGTTTCCATTATTTACCCTATAAAATTACCATAATTATTGACTAGGTGGAGGAGAGAACTAAATAAAATTCTAGACTTAAAAATACTGTGTGCATTCACTCACAATATTATTTTCATTTTTAAAAGAGGAATATTTAGCCAAAAAGAAGGGTCTGTGGAAAAGAATGAGCTTACCAAAGACAAGAAAAAAATATTCACAGGAAGAATTATTAAATTCAAGTCAAGAGGCATTTACATTTCTGTCTTCATATAATAGAAAATTAACATACCTGAAGGTCAAAGAATTTGCTGTATCTCCTGTAGACAACATTAACACTACCATCTGACCAAGTGACATTTATCACATAAACCTGTAAAAAGGTATGCTTATCATGAGACAGAATTTTTTAAATACTGTATTTTTTTTTCAATCCAATGAAGAATGGTTAAACAGACACTTTCATCAGTGACCAATGCTATCTCCTGGTTATAAGTTTCTGAAGGATCCACATCAATAGAGATTACTAGTCAAGAGTAACTGCTATTAGCACTGCAGAATGATATAGGACAACAAGCCCAGTCTCAAGCCGTGAATTGGTAATTACACCATAGTCTTGGACAGGACACAGGTTATTGAGATTTTTAACGTTTCAAACAATGCACTTGGCTAGCTATAATGTCATAATTAATGAAACATTTTCCCCCTCTCCACCCTCCTTTGTCATTGTTGATACCACATGAAAAAGACTCAACCATGAGAGGGAACAAGCGTGTTCAATAAACTTCACAAGGGAATGTAGTGGTCATTTCTATGGCAAACAGCCCCATTTTTGTTACAACAGCTGTAAATCAGAAGCATATGTACCCAGCTGAGTTTTCGAAACTGAGAATTCTCTTTACACTTTAAACACACAACACCAGTAAGTTGATTCAATCAATAGGGAAATCCCATGATACTGGAGAGCGACTTTACAGATATCAAAACAATACAATATCGTGTTCGTCCGATCATTCCTTTGACTAACTCACTCAGCTTCTGTTTGAAAGTCAGTAGCGGATTCACTTGTCATTTGCACAACAGCAGAATTAGTGTTGTATTTTATGAGTTGACTGCGTGAATATTGAGGATAATAGTTTGTATATCGGTGGTCTTATATCAGATCACGAGTCACTAGCTGATAAACGACCCACAGTTAGATGCAATCATAAATATATCACTGTTAACTTACATAATGCTTGCTCGGAACCTTTCGTTTCTGGATATCGACAACTTTTACATCTGTTAAAACCCTTGGCGACATAACGCAAATTTAGCCCTGCATAGGCGCTGAATCTTCGATCGAACGACCGGTTAAGCGACATCAACCTGAGCCTGCGCATAGCCGGAAATGAACCTCGCCTACCTGAGTATCATCGTCACTCGTTGCCAGTGGGACGAATAAATGTCACCATCTTTGTTTTTCCTTGGGCATGACATCTTATTTTGAAGCTTTGGATGTGTTTTGGTGCGGCATTTTGTTGATATTCGTTAGCAAAAAGTATTTGGCACAGTGATAATAGACGAAAATAGTCACGCAACCGCTTGACTGCAATTCCACCGAACATGAAACAACCTCGAATCAAACGTCTCTTCTTTTCATTTCACTTTCGTTTAGCTTGAAATTCCGCGCAACAATAACTCTGCGCGAAATATTGCAAAACGAAGCAATATAAGCTTGTTATTTTCTTCATAGAAGTTATATTAGTTTTATTTGTTCGCTTTTCCCATGCTTTGACCTTACGATGTGACGTTCAGTCACATGACAAGGGCTGAAGGGTGTAAGACTCGAAGCACTGAGTATTTGAGGTTATTCACTCCACAAGCTTAATTCCTCGCATGGACTCTGTGAAACTGAACTCTATGCGAACGCTTCATGCATGAAAACGACTAAATTAAACATCACTACAAAGCTACAATCAGAGCATTGCTCAGAAATTTATTAAAACTAGACTTTCAACTGAGCAAGAAAAAATAGTTTAAGATAGCTTGGTAACATGTAGCTTAGAAAAATGATAAATATTCTTAAAGACGGCTTCATTTCTATGTTTTCACGTTTTTTCTCTAAAATAATAAACTTAACTGAAAAATTAGCTTATCAAGTAATTTAGTCTCCAATACACATTGCAATTGTTACAGCCAAGCTGAACTTCATTAGTTTAAATTATCGCAAAGGAGTTACTCGAACCATGCAACTCTTATTCTATTAATGTGATGGAAATATCTGCATGATTAAAAAATTGAAACTGAAAATTAAACTTGAACGACGTGAAGAGCTTCAGCAGGAGTTGCACCAACAGCCTTTGATCTGCATGGATTAGATTAAATCGATTATGTCAAAAACTGTGTCTAAAAGATTTTTAAAGGCTCTTGCAAAACATAAACATGCAAAAGATGAATATCTAACCATTTTTTCCCCTGAGTTGTGTTATTTATAATAAAACCAAACATGGCTAAATACCCTATTCATTTCAGCGCCCACGCTGTGATAAGCGCCCTCCCCCGCCTTTTGTGAGCGCCCTTCCCCGAATAAGCGCCCATCCTTTGTCCATAATATGGTGATTTAGCAAGAGGACGAGAACGTCAGTTGACAACGGTGGACGCACCAAAAATAACGGTAAGAAACTGTGTTGCGAACGTCGTCCTATTGTGTTTCAGAAGTGACTTAGCAGCTGAAGGTTGCAACGAGACGTCAGAGTTATAATTGTCCTTGAATATCCTAACCTCGGTTCTTTAAGGATCACCATCACCTTTTAATTTTTCGTTTCAAAGACCACTCTAAAGACAACGAGATTATCTCCTCTGAGATTTATGTAAAAAGTGCAAACAGAGGATAGATTTATGTGATTCGCCAGCCGGGAGAGGGCACAGTTTTTCTCAATACGGACCGACTAAGGCTGGTGAATAACATATTTATTTTTTTCCTTAAACTCAACAAAATTCTTTCCAAAAGAACCCGATTAATTTAGGGCTGTAATTACGGCAAGATATTCCATAAACTGAACAATTTTTGAGTATCTTAAATAGAGGTAACGTATAAATTAAAGAGAGAGGATTCACCGAAACACTTTCATTTGCGTAATGATAAAGGTGATTCAAAAGTCTTCCGACAAACTTTTAAGCATTATTTTTACAAGTATCTGCATGTCACAATCTGACACCTGTCAATTAGAGAGTGCGTAAGAAAAAAAACCGCAAGTACATTTAATAATTATAGATATGGCAAGTAAGTTGCATGTATGAATCCGCACGGGCGATCAAACTTTAAATTATTTCGTTCCAGTAAAGTTTCGTGTCTGTTGATTCATCTATCATATTCTAGAGTCCATTAAATATTTTTTTCTGCGATTTGTCGCGCTGTCATTTCGTTTCGTGCCACTAGATTTCAGCACTACTCGTTGTCGTCATGATTTTACAAAGTTCCCGTCCTCTTGCTAAATCACTCAAGTTCTCTAATGTCAAACCTGACGGGCCCCTCTCGAAAGGGCCCACTCCTCCTCTTTCACTTTCTAAAATAGCTCGCGATACAAGGAAAAACTGTTCATGTTGTCAATTTATTGACAACTTTTTCAGCTTTAACTGCAGCAGAATCAGTACACGAGGATAGTTTCTTTTCCTATCTGCAGGTGCTTCTGGAATTCCTTAATGTGTGTTATCTGTCCTTTCATAGGTGTATTTGTTGT